AAGCCCAGCTCTGTAACCCAGCTCAGCTCTGAGATGAGGCCCAGTTCTGTAACCCTGCTCAGCTCAGAGATGAAGCCCAGTCCCACAACTGAGCTCAGCTCTGAGACCAAGCCTTACTCTAGAACCCAGCTCAGCTCTGAGATCCAGCCCAGCTCTAGACCCCGGCTCAGCTCTGAGACCCAGCCCTGCTCACAAGCCCAGACCAGCTCTGAGACTAAGTTCATTTCTAGAATCCAGCCGAGCCTTGCCAGCAGCCCAAGTTCCAGAATTCAGGCAAGTTCTAAGACCCAGCCCAGTTCCGGGACCCAGCCCGGCTCTGATACCAAGCCCTGCCACGAAGCTCAGCCTAGTTCTGGAGACCGAGCTGGCTCCACGAGGCCATCCTTGAACACTCAGCTTAGCCTCGGGACAGCGGCAAGGAGCGGAGCCCGGGTGAGAGCCACGAAGCAGCCCTGCTACAGCACCCAGACCAGCTCCAGGCTCAGGGGCAGCTCCCACACCCAGCCCTCTTCAACGTCTCGGGCCAGCTCAGGAGCCCAGACCCCCGCTGCCGGCCAGTCCCGAGCCGACGCCCAGCCCTGCTCCCAACCCCAGTGGGACCCGAGCCCTTACCCCCGTCCTGCGGCCCAGTCCAGCCCTGAGACCGAGCCCAGCTCCAGAACCCAGGCTGCTGCTACAAGGTCCCTGTCTGGAATCCAGACTGGCTCTGGAAGCCCAGGCACCTCTGGAGCAAGGCCCAGCCCCAGACCTCTGCTGAGTTCTGGAGCACAGACTGGTCCCGAGCGCCCACCCAGCTCCCAAACACAGTCAGTCACCGAGACCCAGCTCAGCCCTGGAACCCCGTCTAGTCCTGGGACCGAGACCAAGGCAGTGGCAGAGCGGAGCCCGGCCACCCTGGCTCATTCTGAGAGTGGGCCTGGCTCCGGGATGTGGCGCCGCCCGGGAGCTCAGCAGGCAAGTCCCAGGTCCCAGCTCCAGGCAACAACCCAAGCCACCTCTGCTCTCCAGCCAGACGTCGAGAAGAAGCCCTGCTCTGAGCACCAGCCCAGCTCTGGAACCCGGCCGAGGTCCAGAACCCAGGGTGTTTCTGGGACCCAGCCCAGCTCCGGAACTCAAGCCAGGGAGGGAACTCCACTCAGCTGTGAGCTCCAGCCCAGCTCTGGGATCAAGGCAGGTTCTGGAATCCAGCCCAGGTCTGGAACCCACCAGAGGTCCAGAACCCAGGCTGTTTCTGGGACTCAACCCAGCTCCGGAACTCAAGCCCAGCTCCCACCCAGCTCTAAGTCCAGCTCTGGGACCCCGAGCAGTTCAAGAATTCAGCTCGACCCAAGAAGCCAGTTCAACCCCAGGATCCAGTTCATCTCCGAAACCCAGCCCGCCTCTGGAGCCCACCGTGGTTCCAGAGCCCAGCCTGCTTCTGGGACCCAGCCCAGCCCCAGACTCCTGCTCAGCTCTAGAAATGGGATCCGCCCGCAGACCCCTGCCCTTGACCCTAGAAGCCAGCCTGGCGTCCCGGCTCCAGCCCGACCCCAGGCCCCAGGCCCACCACCCACAGCCCCTGCTGCCGCTCCTGGCAAGCTCCCTCAGCCTCTGTCTGAGCCCGGTCGTCTGGTTCCTGGAGCCCGGGCCAGCACCCAGCCTGCGCATGGCCCACCAGCACCCCAGAAGCCAGCCCTTTTTCCCAAGCCCCAGCTGGGATCCCAGACGCCCTCCCTGCTCAGCATATCTGTCCCCAGAGGGGCCCTTCCGCCTCCCCAGTCCCCGATGCCCCACTGTGGGGGCCGTAGCCTGGCTACCACTGGTGGCCTCCGATGACCCCTCTTCTCCTGTCCCCCCCAGCTGGGGTCCCCGAGAAGCAGCATGTGACCTGTGACCTTGTTCCCAGCAGGCAGGGGTGGGGAATGGTTTCACAGGCCTGACTTGGGGTGAGGATCCGGTCTCTGCCTGGAGCCGTGGGTGGCCTTTACCTGGGAACAAAGGCCCCCTTCCCCACCTGACCTGAGTGTGGCTGGGGGAGGCGGGTGGGGGGCTGGGTGAAAACCCAAGGGGACTCCTGATAGTTTGTGGGAAAGCGGAGTGGAAGGAGGTCCAGGCGGTGCTGCAGTAATACAACTGGAGCCCCAGGGAGGAGTTCCTGGGTTCACGTCCTGGGGCCCCCCTGAGTGAGAGTGATTGAGCGCCCCAAATCCAGGCTACCTGAGGCTCTGTGTGGACTGTGGCACTGAGACCCTGCAGGGGGTGCTGTCTCTCTCTCTCTCTCAGAATAAAGAAATAAACTTTATGAGTTTGTTTTGGTGCAAAAACTTTGGAAAACTCACGCCTCGTTTTTTCAATAATATGCATTTTCTACGAGTTTTGTTTTGTGTTTATTTTGATGTCTGAAGCATTAGAAAGTGAGATAGAGAGGGAGAGAGAGGAGAGAGAGAGAGGGAGAGAGAGGAGAGAAAGAGAGGGAGAGAGAGGGAGAGAGAGGGGGGGTGAGAGGGAGAGAGGGGGGGAGAGAGGGAGGAGCGGTGGGGCGGAGAGGGAGAGAGGCCACGTGCCACGGCTTGGCCACGCTGCTCCTCTGGCCTCCGTCCTTTTTCCTCCCGTTCTCCTCCATCAGAATCCCAGGCTGTTCTTCAGTCCTGGGCTGGGACTCAAACCCCGGCCATCCCCGTGAGATCTGGCTTCCACCCCACAGCCCCTCAGGCTGTACTCCGGGCCAGCCCCCACGGACCTTTAGGAGACCCCTGAATGGTGCTGCTGTTTCATCTGCCCCGGGCACGTGTGTGCACCAGAGACAGAGGGGGAGCGGAGGGCACCCCCGGGTGTGTTCATGCCGCAATCCCCTCCTCCCTCCTTCCATGATTCTGGGCACACGCAAGCACCCCACATGTTTCTCGATTTCCTGGGCCCAGGACTTGAACCCACAGCCACTTTAACCATAGCTCCGCTGGCCCTGAGCACTTTAAGCCCATCCGGGCCTGCCCAGCTCCTGAGCTACAGA